CCATACAAGGGAAAACTATGGTTTTCCCTTGTATGGCCGTGGCCCCGCCCCCAGCGTGCCCGGTGTCATGACGTCACTTTCCTGTGACGTGCATGCGGCGCACGCACACACACGCCGGGAGGCAAGCTGGAGTCCCCCGCCGGAAAGGTAGGTTGCACTTGGCAACCCTATCTCTGGTCAATGCCAGGTTTGCCACTCAAAGTGTAGGAACAGCCAGCAGGTGGCAGCTTGAAGACCACAGCTGACACACAGGGATATACGGCTTTTAAAAGCTGACTATAACATAGGATAAACCAGTCACATGGGAAATTCTCTCAAAGTTGGCACCTTGCCAGGGGTAAATGATTCTGTAAGAAAGGTCCACATGATCAGCCCATTCCATGTTTCCAGAGAAGGAATAGAAGATTCCACTGCACAAGAGTAATCTTTAAAGGATACCCAAAAGTTATGTTCTTTTTCTTCAGTATAAAGAACTGATTATAAAACTGTACAGCTTCTCATTTCGGAGTTAAAACCAGCAGACCTCAGATGACACATGGCACTGGGGTTTTATCTTATACTTTTAACAGATGGCATACAACAAGAAATATCACTTTCCCTTGATCTCTGTTTTTTTCTTGGATCCATTACATTTAATGTACATACTACTAAACTGGTGAAAATCATCAGAAGATCATCAGCATACAATACACAATCTGTCAAAATGGCAGATTATCAGTTTCATTCTTCAAGAGATAATGGCTCAGCCGTTAGAATGCTGCACTTGCTAACTTTTAGCATTACGAAAGAATTTTGAGAATATATTTCCACAATTTTGTCAAAACTCTTTCAAGCAAGCACTGCATTCTTAAATCTTTTGGCATGAAAAGAGTGCAAGTCACTCATGCAAAATATGGCTTGTCAAAGAACATTTTCAACACTCACTAGACCTTATATAACATTCACTTAGGGCCTGGGTACTTAGTTATACCAAAATAGGGCTAGACAAAACCCAAGAGCTTGGTCACTGGACCATCTGGGAACTGGAGGCTGCCATTTAGAAACATTTAGAACTGAACTACATGTTCTAAAAGATCACACAGTACAGTTCTTCCTGATTTTTACTATTTCAGACTGGAAAAAAGAACAGCATGCTTTAATGCAGCCCACATGTAAAATATCCCACCCTGCAGAGAGAAAACTAGTACAGAATCCTTCTCGACATGTTACTTTTCTGTAGACAAGGAGCTGTTGATATAGGTGAACATTCAGACCTTTGCATTTCAAACATATTTTTACTTCGATCAGATAGTGTAAAAGCTATTCTTTCTTTTAATTATTTTCAGATGTTTCTATGATCTGAAAGGGCAGTTGTTGTTTTTATCCAAATCATCAATTGTTGATGTAAAATATGACTTATCAGGCCACGGATTCTACTGCCTTTACCTGATCACTTTCTATGACTGATTGGATCCACTCATGTGCCCTGTATAGCTCATGTCTGCGATCCACTTTCTTCTGGAACCGAGGAATTTTTTTCACAGGGTCATCACTACCAAAGACAGGAGACTGAACTTTTGGAACTAATTTCACATCATCAACAAAGATGAAGGGTTTAAATATGGACCTGAAAGAGATCAGATGTATTACCAGTCACAGGTACACTTTGTGCATCACCTAGCAGTTTGTTTAAAAAACAAAACACTGACCTATAAACTTGGATGTGTCATGCACAGTAACTGGTGATATGATCCCAAGGCAATTGTAGCAATACAAGCATAAGAAGGATGGCATTAATAATGTAGGGTGTGTTTGTTTGTTTTTTAAAGAAATTCTATGTATCCTTACCCTTTCTAGTTTCAGGTGTAAACAATTACAATTATTTTGCCCCTCCACTCCTTAAATAATAAAGATCCAGCTTATGCAATGAAAAGCCTCTTGACAAATAAATATGATAAAAACCTCTCAAAACATTTGGAGATACAGAACTAGTCTCAAAAACTGGAGCAGACCCAAGCAGTATTGCATAATGTTACTTTTCATACAAGATGATGATAACACTATTCTTAGAAAGAGCATGGATGAATTTCCGCAATTACTGACATTACATAAAATCCTCAAGGTTTAACCCCCTTTATTCTGGACCTCTCATGCTACCTTGGAAGAGTCTGTAAACCAATTTGACTACATAAAAAACAATCTAGCATTCAGAAGTTATTTCATTTGGCACTGAAGTTCTACACCTTTTTAGACAAATTGTGTAAAATTTCACTGAAGATTTGTTATGTTTACGGCTTTTTAGAACACAAATAAATTGCAGTAAATATTTTAGGGGCAGGAAACAGCCGAGTCAATTCCTCAGCTCTGCTTTCATTCCTTTTATGTAAAACCTAGGGGGTGATAGATGGTTTTCTTCAAAGAATAAAAAATGCAACTCATATCAACGTGACTGTTTTATGTTGATCCATAAAAAGGGGGATCAAAAGGGGGAAAGGGAAGTTATCGTATTAAAGGGTTTCTCTGGACTCTGAACCTTGTTCAGTACTCAAAGTCAGGATCTGAACTAGGGGTAAAGCCACAATGAGAATGATTTAAAGGAGAAAACCTGCTTTAAGGAATGCTAACGAAGAACTACTGAACTTTTCATATGGATTTACAAAAAAAGCTGCTGTTTGCCCCCAAACACTTTAAGGCGGTTATTGGTTATAAGCTACTGCATTTTGTATATTAGAAGTTAGCCCTTGTCCTCAGAATGACAAGAGTAATACAACATTTGTATTAATAATAAGGCCAAAACTGTTTGGGAAACACCAAATCACAGATGACACAGGTAATATTCTAAACAGTCCTCAGTGAACACGATGGGCCAACGACTACTCAACCTATGGTACTTCAGGGAGGAAATTGCGTTGGAACCTATTAATCCTTTCTGCAATCAGGAGAGAAAAAGCATAAGATCCAAACCACTTCTTCCTTTATTGGTTAATGTAAAAACCCTCTCTTGCATGTGGTTTAGACCACATGCACTGAAGTATGAATAAATGTTGAGGTATTCAAAGTAAAATGAAGCTCTAGGCCTTAGTCCCCAAAGGGGAAAGTAATAAGCAACTGGACACAATAGAATGTGCTACAAGAATTCTTTGCTAAGTGTGGCTTCCCATTGTCCAAAGGCAACATGTTAACAGAACTGCAATACTGAAGCAGATACTGCCTGAAGTCATATCCGTTGACTAGTTCATAGCTCCACAGGCTTACCAGGCATGGAATAGGGTTGCCAGCCCCTACGTGGGAGTGGGGGATCCCCTGATCTGGCAGACTCCAATCTGCTGCCAGCCAGCTTCTGGGGCTCCCACATGGTGATGTTGTAGTGTTTTGCCCAAAATACTACAACATCACCATGCGGCGTCCCCAGTGTGATGATGTCACTGCCAAGTGACGATATCGTGCTGGGGATGTTGTGTGCTGTGATGTCACACCACCCCCACACTCCCAGAGAGCTCCCTCCCACCCACCCCAACCAGTGAGCAAAGAGGACCTGGCAACCCTAACAGGCAACCAGTGGGACTTGGAGAAGCGGGGACATGGGGCACCATCAGCGATGTCACACCTCCCTAGGAATTGGTGGAAGCCACAGAGTTCTCACAATTCCTGGAGAGGGCTGATGTTACCCCGACAGCAATTTGTTGTTTATTTTTCTCCCACCAACAGTCCAGTGGGAGGTGTCCCAACACAGCAGGAGACCAGGCAGTCCTACAGCTACACCTTCATAACCTGATGCAGCAGTTGCAGAAATGGTTTCAGGCAACAAGAGATACCTTTAACCGCTCCTCAAGTAGACTAGCTTTCCAGCAATAAGCAACAAGGATTCAGGCTAAGACTGCCAACTGTGGGTTGGGAAATTCCTGGAGATCTGGGAGCAGTGCCTGGGGAAGGGAGGGGAGGAAGCTCAGCGTGGATGTGAAGCTAAAGAGTCGGTCCTCTGAAGCTGCCATTTCCTCCAGGGGGGCTAAGATCTGTAGGGTGGAGACCAACTGTAACTCTAGAAGAACTCCAAGCGCCATCTGAGTTACTCTGAGCTGAGGAAGGAATTTTTCAGATGTAAACCTAGAAGAAGATCTTGAGAAATAAAAACACTCATGGCTGGATGCCAGATCGTCTGCTGACAGACCTTGATGGGTCCGGTGTGCCGGTGAAGTAATGGATGCAAGGAGAACTAGGATTCTGAGGTAAAGCAGACACCATACTTCCTGTAGTAAGGAAAGATTCTGAATCCACACAAACACCTCTGGCCTTGTCACGCAAGACATCAATCATCGTTTGCACCGTGATGTCTCCTGCAAATATCAAAGAGAGAACATGGACAGGGCATGATCCAAAGCTCTGATGGGTATCAAATTTGGGGAAAGGTTGTAACTAGGGCTGAAGACACAGCCAGTGAGGGAGAGAACAATACCCTTCTACTTAGATGAAAAAGTCAACCCATCTTTTTAGCGATGGGGGGGGGATATATTCCATACAAAAATGCTTACTTTCTTTATAGTAACAACTACCCATTTAAAAGAGGCCACCACACCTCTGTGTACAGCAACATTTCCTGCCAAGGCACAAGGAGACGGCTGTGCTCCCCAGACTCCTGCAGGTTGCTTCCTTGATGTCTGATACTGCCGTCTCTCTCCACCAGTGCTTTGTTAAAGAGAGGAGAAGGGATCACAGTATTGACACTAAACCAGGGCTATTTTTGGGCAGGAACGCACAGGAATGGAGTTCCGGCTGGCTCCCAAGTTGGCCACACCCAGCAGGAACTCATTAGCATAATAGGCCACACCCAACAGCAGGAACTCATTAGGATTGGCTACAGTAGGTGTGTGTGGCCTAACATGCAAAGGAGGTCCTGCTACAAAAAAAGCCCTGGCAGTTTTGACAACAAACAAAGTAAACAGAATAAGAAGCAAAAGGTGGGTGTGGCTGGATGACCACACTTCTGGTAACATGGGAATGCGGCCTAATATGCTAATGAGTGGTGCAGTCAGGGGGTGTGGCCTAATATGCTAATGAGTTCCTGCTCGACTTTTTCTACAAAAAAACCCTGCTAAAGGCTATTTTTTCCTCTGGTTTCTCCTTCAGAGCAAGTTTTGCACACGCTCCTTATGTCACTATTCATAACTAAAATGAAGCCCAGGAAAAAAATTAGCAAAACTACGGTACATTTTTTCTTTCTACTTGAGATAAAATTCCTTCCAGGAGATAAAATTCCTTACAGGGCGCCAAGGTAAGCACAGAATCATTGTCTAGGAGCTGTGGGTCAATCAGGACAATCAGTTGTGCCAGTCTGTGGAATTCAGTGGCTTCAGACAGGAATCATTCTGCATAGGGTTGCCCTGTCCAACTATCAAACATCCCATTTGATACCTATAATATCCTGAACAAAAGTCTCCTAAAGATTTCCAAGAATGTTTCAGAACTTCTCCAACAGAAGCAAAGTCCCAAATCCCCTTCAGTCTTTTGCCTATGAACAAGGTTCTCAAGAAAGTAAGTGAAAACGGATCTCTTCTTACTTACCTTCCTGTTTATCTAGGCTCTCCTTCCCCAAGCAACAATCAGAATGATTATCTGCTTGAGAAAATACTTGAGCAAAATTGAATTCGGTATCTGCCGTCCACCAGCCTTGATTTTCTGCATAACTTCTAAGCTCAGGATGCTCAGCATCAATTTTTGTTGTTAAGGAAAGCTGGCTACAAATACACTTTGTTCCCTCTATGAAAAAAAGAAACATATTAAAAGAGGCTTTTAAAAATGGGAGGTATATGATCATATAATAAATTAAAGCCGTAAGCTACATTCATTTTTGGCATGCTGTGATATCAGCTCAAATTTTAGGTTTTCCAGGCCCCCACTGGGGATTGGGGATCCCTTGCCCCCAGGCCCCCATCCACTGCTGCCAATCAGAAGCTGGGAGGCCTAGCCTTGTATCTTAGCAATGTTTGCTGGTGATGTCAGGACACCCGGTATTTGGGCAAAAACTCTATGGTAAAAATGGCTTCAACCATAGAGGTTTTTTTCCAGAATACAGAGCATCCCTGAGTCACTGGCTACACTATGGCATCACTTCCTGCACATGCTAGAAGTGATGTTGCCACATCACTGGTGACACTGCTGAAATGCTAAACTAGGTCTTCCTGCTGCTGGCAAATCCTCCCCCTGCCAATTGCCAGGGGGTACCTGGCAACCCTGGCTCAAGTACATATGAAGAAGACATGGTGGTTCAGTATAATAAGCAGGGTTACCTGCCTCAAGATGAGGCCTGGTCTCCATACTAAAGCAATCAGCTCCCCTTGAGTTTCAGAGGATGGACTCTGTGGCATCATATCCTAGCTGAGCTATGTCCCCACCAAAAACTGTTCTTCACAGGCACTTTCCCTATACCTCCAGGAATTTCTTGAGCCTGATTCTGCAACCATTAACTAAAAGTTATGACTGCAGCATCCATGTCATAAGAGCATAAGAGATGCCAATGTTGGATCAGGCCAAAGGCCCATCCAGTCCAACACTCTGTGTCACACAGTGGCCAGAAATACCAGTGCCATCAGGAGGTCCACCAGTGGGGCCAGGACATTAGAAGCCCTCCCACTGTTGACCCCCCCAAGCACCAAGATGACAGAGCATCACTTGCCCCAGAGCTCCTATCTATACCTTGTGGCTAACCTCTGCTCCATATGCTTATCTAATCTGCCTACTTTACCATGTCTGCCTACTTTGCATGTTTAGAAAGGCAGTTTTCAAAGCAGTTGCAAGCCAGATGGCAGCATTCTGCTAGACTCACTACATACAACTTGAAGTTTGAGTCCATAGACACCTTTAAGACCAACAAAGTTTTATTTAAGGTATAAGCTTTAGTGTGCATGCACACTTCTTCAGAGACACTGAAACTGAAGTTACCAGTCCATACATATAGGTAGAGGGTGGGCAGCAAATTAGCATGCAGCATAACAAAGATAATGAACAGATGCAAGGACCAAACAGGAATAACAAGTTTAGGTTACCATTTGCTTGGGTTTAATTCTGTGGGAAAACATAGTGAAGGAAATAAATATGTAAAAACAAAAACTTATACCTTGTATAAAACTTTGTTGGTCTTAAAGGTGCCACTGGACTCAAACTTTGTTCTGCTGCTTCAGACCAACATGGCTGCCCACCTGATTCTATCTGCATACAACTTGCAAAGCGACAGGTGAATAAGGATCACTTTTCCTTCACCTGCAACCCAAGACTGTCATACTAATGGCATTGTGCAGGGAAAAGATCAGCCATTGTTGTATCAAATCAGTTGTCTTGCCAAAGACACTATGCCAAGGGATGGAGAAGAAGAAAGGAAGAAATAGTTGCTAAAGGTCTTCTTTCTAATTCATTAGTCCAATAGTTAACTCTTCTCTATCCTGAACCTCACTGTCTTTGTGAACCAACATGATTCCTTTCACAAGGACATAAAGGACCAGGTCCACTGCTGGTCTGACCATCTCTTTCTTCTTCCTAAAACTTTTCCACAGGCATAGGAGGTGGGGATTCATTATTTGTTTATTTTACAAAATTTATACCCCGCCTTCCTGCTCTTCCTGCCATCAAGGAAGCTAACAGATTAAAAACATAACATAGGCCCCGGTCACACAGGCTGGATATCGTGGGGGGGAGGCGTGGCTAATTGCCCCGGTGCAGTTTGATGCGCGATTACAAGAGCAGACGCGCCGGCAGCACACCACGGGTCCTTCTCTCGGCGCCGGCGGGTAAACGAGGGACCAGAGGGGAGTGCTGCGTGCCAGCGCAATCACACCACGGGTGTCTGGAGGCAGCCCGTGGCAAACATTTACTAGTACCTTGGAGGTACTAGTTTTTTAAGGCGCATTGTCGGCTGTAAGCCACGGGTGCACTCTATCTCCCAGATGTTGGGGTGCGATCGCGCCCGGATAATCCGCCCACCATCCGTGCCTCTCCCGCGGCAACTTTGCCATGTGACCGGGGCCATAGTAAAAACATGGCTTAAAAACCATTATAGCCAAACAAAAACAGATAACTAAAACAATTCACATCCAGGTAATATGCAAATACAAAAACATACAAATAGTTAAAACATAGAAGAGGAAAGAGGGATCACTGAGGAAATGCCAGATGAAGCAAAAAAGGCTTTATCTTATGTCATTAAGAAACACCATACTCGGTGCTGCCAGGGTTGTATGTTTGCCTTTTTGAAAGTTCAGCAGCCACAATAAAGAATGCTGTTTGTTCATCTCCTTCTCCAACATTTATCTTTGGCCACTCTCTTTCCCCACCTTCTGTAACATGTGAGGTTCTAATTTTGACCAAAGCAGGCAAAGAGAAGAGGCTAGAGACAAAGTGTACCAGCAGAACAGCAGAGTTTACATTGTCTTTTTGCTTTGAGCTTTCAGAGAGACAAACTGGATTTCCATGCAAACTTCAAAAGCTTAACCTCTAGGGATAACTGCATCAGACTCCCAGTAGTTGACCCAGGAGCATAACCTTTCCTAGAACGCATTCAGATTCTCCAAAACAAGTGCCAGTGCAGAACAGATCACACTTTATGGATGCAACTTATTTTGCTTCTCTCTAATGCTGTAACATCATTGATTAATGTATCACCGTGGCAATCCCAAAGACCACGACCACAAATGGACAAATGTAAACTGTCAGAAGCAGTGCTAAGTGGCTCACAAGGACCAGGAAGAAGGCAGGAAAATGGATGAAGTTACAGTCCCATAAAGAAAGAGTGCTTCTCATCAAAGTATACTTTGCCCACCAAGTTCCTATTCCTTTTCAAGTTTTCCTACTATTATTGTGACAACAAAAAAAATCCCTAAAGGAAACTGTCCGCGGCTGTATTGGCCGCTGTGGCGGGACTGGTGCAACCCGCGCCGAGTTCTTCGAAGCGGCACAACGTAGAACGGGATTCGGGAGGCATATTTGGGGAGCGGGGCGGCCCTGGTCAGAAGCCCCAACAGGTCAGGAAAGGACGTGCTCGAGGGAGGGGCAGAGGGACCTTACCGTTCAATCTAGGTGCGCCCGCAGGGGTTACCGATCAGACCGATACTTCTACAACTCAGCCCAAGGCTTCAGGAGTTAAGGGGATAGAAACATTATGGTCAGAGCACGGGGATTAGAGAAAACACATGGAACAGGGAAGCAGATGGGGGACTTAGTTGATGGGAAGCACATGGGAGTTTGGGGGATGATTGTAATGCAAAATAAAAGAAGGAAACCAACAACACCGGGGAGGATTGGCAGCGAATCGTAGAGACTCAGAGAGACCATGCACTGGAGAGGCGATTCTGCTGAGAACGTTAGCTGGGGTGTGGTGCAACACCCAGCGCGTTCTGGTCTGAGGTGTTTGTTTCCGGACTTAGAAGACTCCTACCACGGCGACCGGGCATACGGCGTCTAGGAGTAACCCGAATCCTGACAGAAACCATGAATTCCACACCAAAGGGGAAGTTCATAAAGGTGTTAACCAGTGATTACCCCACCTGGTGCCCTGTAGATAGGCATTCACATTCCTTTCCTTTTCAATGGACAGAGCAATCAACATGCACACTCCTTTATGTCTGCAGATAGGTGCCATCCAGTGACATGAATTGGACCAGACATGCCAGACATCCCTGTGTGCACTAGACCACACAGAGAATTCCGACCTGGTTGGAAAAGATTCTAAAGGATAACACAAGTTGCACAATTTCCCTGAAAACGTCAAGAAGTAGGTTTAAAAGTCAGGACACATGAAAGACTGAATTTGACATGTGTTATTGTAGAGGTTGGTGACGTTTGGGGTCATTCTTTTTTGGAGAAGCTAATGTGAATATGCAGACAGCCAGGAGTGCTTCAAAGCACAGATGCACAAAGCAATGTACACAGGGAGCTGCACATGAAGCAGGCTATTGCACTTGGAAGAGGTTAGCTGTATCTGGTTCAGTATTCCTGGCACCTGAGATCTACCTGAACAAAGAAGACTGGTGGAAACAGCCTTGTGTATTTTGCATAGGTGCTGGCTCCTGGCTTAAAGCCCAACAAAAGCAGCACCCCCAGTAACTGCGAGGCATTGTGCGCAGGGCTTCTTTGAAAATAGACCCCAAAAGTCTGAACTGCCTTCCTCAGGCTGCATTCGAAACACTGGCAGTTAAAGACACTTCTCTTGAGCCATGCTTTCAGTTGACACCTGATTAATTTATTGCTGTTTCTCTTTGCAAATGACTGCTGGAGTCACACCTTTAAAACAGGTCTCTCTCTGTTACAATTCCTCCCCCCCCCCACTTTTGTGATTGGGTTATGAAAATCTCTAAAGTATCTGCCAAATCTCTAAAGTATCTGCCAAAGGTTTCTGGCATCCTAGACAAACAATGACTTTGTCTCCCTATTCAATAGAGAGAAAAGTGAGAAGTCTGGAATGACTTTTTTACTACTGGGCATTCAAAATGAACAGTGTGAAAATGAAAATGGATAAGCTCTTCACAAGCTCTGGCAGCTACAGAAGACCAGGATCAACAGATATGGAAATTCTAGAAGGCAGCTAATACCAAGTTCCCCTTCAAGCCAATAGAAGATGGTCCTCTGTGTCGGGTTCTGCAGCAAGTAAATCTCCACACACGTTTCCAAAGAAGTGTTATGCTTTATTAAATTACAAAACTGGTACCATATCCACAGGATTATTGTTAGGAATGACCATGGGGCGGAAACATCCTTACATATAGCAGGACAAGGCAAATGGCTAAGCAAATGAAATTCGAGCACGCACACGCGCGCGCGCAGGAATTCTCCCGATGATAAGCGGGAAAGTCACAGTGCCTCATGAGAGCAGAAAGATTCACACCAGGGGTGGAACGCAAGCCCTCCCTCCTTCACAAGGCCAGACAGATAACACCGTCTGGCAGTACTGGGTCTCACAGTCTCCCTAGCATTGTTTATAGCAAGCGGCAGAGCAGCCAGCAAGCCAGGATCAGAGACGGGAACAAGCAAAACACGGCAGCTAGCTAACACTCTGGCCTTTTTGGCACCCCTCAAAATATGGAACTCGAGACAGCCACCTAAGTTTGCCTAATGGCCAGCCCTGCTCTAAAGCTTTTCCACTCATTTGCATCTGATGAAGTGAGATCTGACTGGCAAAAGCCTGTGCTGGAATAAACTTGGTCAGGCTTAAAGGTGCCACTTGATTCCTGTTTTACTTTGCTGGTTTACCGGTTTGGTGTGACTTTTAATTTGGTTTTATTATATATATAATTGATATCATAAACCACCTTGGAGATCTGCATTGATGGAAAGGCAGGACTGTTCTTTTTAAAAAAATAAAAACAGGAGAGTATTCCTTGAATAGGCCAGGTCTCCATCTGCCCCTTCTTCCATGCTGGCACTTCCAAGGCTGCCCAGGGTTATGGGGAGTGCATTGCTGTTGCACCAGTATGCAATGTCACGTCTGACGAAAAACCAGCAGTAGAATTTACCCCAAACTCTAATATTTAACCATAGAGTTTGGGGCTAATCCTACAGCGACACCACCAACATAATGGTATCACTTCTGGTTTTTTGACAGAGGTGGCTTTGCACACTGGTGCACCTGACTCTGCCCCCAATTCCCCCTGGGGGGTGCCGACTGCAACTGACAACCCTACCCTTGAACATCTACCCAGGGAAATTTAAATAATACATTTGCGTTAACAGCAAATTAAGTAACCCTTCCATTTATTACCTCTTTAAATAACATAACAATTAAGGACCCACCACGATCAAGCTGGCAAATTATGCACGCTTCATTCAAATAAGAAAAATACACTACCATATGTTTATATGATCAAAATGACTTAATGAGTTTCTTGCTTAATGGCGAAAAAATGAAAGCTTATCTGTCACTTTTAAGAGAGAGAAAAGAAGACTCCTCAAGCAAGTGTATTCATTTAAGCATTCTTAACATTTATTTCATCTAATATTTTTAACCTTTTCAAATAATTTATTTTAGAAATCCATATTTCTACATTGCAATATTGTTGCACTTGCAGAAAGTTGCACCCTGTCACTGACTACGGTTGCCTTTACTTTCTCCTATATCATCTGGAGATCACTTGCAATTCTGGGAGATCCCCAGGCCTCATCAGCCTGTTGCATCTAGTTTGGGCCAAAGACAGTCCCAATTTTAAAGATAGCCACTCCTTCCAAGTAAGCATGTTTTGGCCATGAGGCCCCAGCCTGATTTAAATGTGATGCTGATAGGACAGAAGAACCTACCTATGTGACTTTGTCCATATTCAGCATCTTGTTCAGTTTGCCCCCCATCCCTGCCACTACATGTGTAACATTAGCACATCAGAGACACATAGCTTGTAGTACTAAAATGTGCACAACTTGAAGTAAAATGCCATCATGTCTGAATTACACCCCAGCCAAACACTTCTTCCTCCCAGCTGCTATCAGTGAGGTCAGAGGTAGAAGAGGCAAATGCCATGCTGGTACCTCTCTAAGAGCACCTTTCTATATATTATCATCATTGATATCTGCGTTGCTGTATAGTTAGATGTCTTCATTGATATCTGCGTTGCTGTATAGTTATAACTGTAGATGTGTCTTTGGAAGCCAATTTTTGGCTTAAAAGTATGGAAATAAATGGATAAATATAAATAAAAACAGACCTGTGATTTTTTCTGCTGCCCAGTATTTCCCAATAGTCTCCAATACCCAAGCTTCTTTCCTGTCCGTGATGAGATATGCACTCTGGAAAGCATGGCACGAGTTCCCATCTTCATAATAATTTCCACCTTGGCCATATTCTTCCAACAGAGAGACTATTACATCCAAGGCTTCTTTAGCTGTTGCACCCCTTTCTAGACCAAGCCTGGGAAAGCGGAGGGGGGGGGGGAATGAGCATCTTTATTACAGTAACAGTGGACAGCTGTTTCTACTTTCAACAACACACGACAGACATAAACTGTGATAAGATGCTTGGATACTAACATAATACTTCTATTAATTGACTCAGGTAGTAGCTATTAATAATATCTGAAGCACTTTAAAATATATTAATGTTTTCTTGTCTGTAGTCATTCATTTCCATATGTAAAGATTTGGTAAGGACCAGTAAAGTTACAAAAATAAATACATTGGTACAAATAAAATCTAAAGCAAAAGAAGCACGTGGCTGCCATTCAGTCTGCTGCCTCTTTCTGCTGCCTGTGTGGAACAGGTCTGAGAACTGCAATAAGGATTCATCTATCACCCATCATGCGGCCCCCGGGTCTCGAACTGCTGAACTACTGACCTTCCACAGCCTGCAGTTCAGCGTCTTAACCACTTGAGCCACCGCAGCTCCTAACATAATAACTAACATAATAACTAACCTAATACTTCTATTAATTGACTCAGGTAGTAGCTATTAAGAATATCTGAAGCACTTTAAAATATATTAATGTTTTCTTGTTTGTAGTCATTCATTTCCATATGTAAAGATTTGTTAAGGACCAGTAAAGTTACAAAAATAAATACATTGGTACAAATAAAATCTAAAGCAAAAGAAGCACGTGGCTGCCATTCAGTCTGCTGCCTCTTTCTGCTGCCTGTGTGGAACAGGTCTGAGAACTGCAATAAGGATTCATCTATCACTTCTATTCATTCTTAGGCCTGGGCCTCTCTTTGAGTGCAGGTACCAAATTTAATTTCTTCACATCTGGCATTTTACTGTCTCTGCATTCTAACATCTCCAACCACCTTGTGTTTCCTACTACCACATGAATGTTTGGAAATCCTGCTTGCCAGGACCCCCAAGGAGGCAGAGAATCCCTCGTCTTCGGGCAGGGGGACCTACCCGCAGCAAATAGAGGCCGAAGATGGTGTCACCACAATGTGGTGAAGTCACTTCCTGTGTTCACTAGAAGTGATATCTTCATGTCACTGGCTACATGGGGTGTTTTGGTATTTTGGGCAAAAATTCTATGGTAAAAAATGACGCCTATCATAGAGTTTTTGCCCAAATACCAGAGCATCCCACTTTGCTGGTGACGTGATGACGTCGGTTCCAGTGCACACTAGAAGTGACTTGCTGTGATGCCAGCAACACTGGCCTAGGCCTCTACTGGAAATTGAGCACTAAGTTTTTCTATTCAGGCCCTCCCTCAACCCACAGTTCTATTCATTTATTTTATTTATTTGTTTAGGGGTATTTCTATGCTTCCTCTTCAGAGTCCTGCTCAAAGCGGCTTACAGTTAAAAACAATGTAACAGTATAAAAACAAGCCATTAGACAAACAGCACAAAAATGATCCATGAGGCAGAAGCCGAGCATTTAAGCTGGTAAAATAAAACCCCTAATTTAAAAGACTGGATAAAAAAACATGTGTTTCCCTCTACCATTGTCAGAAGTAACAGTGTCTCTTCCTTCTCCAGATCAGGTACCTCTAGGGTCGTCACCCTCCTGGTAGGCTTAGTGTTCTCCTGGAATTTCAACTGATCTCCAGAGTACAATGATCAGTTCCCCAGGAGGAATGTCCGCTCTGGAGGGCAGACTCTTATAGTATCACATTCCTGCCGAACAGTGTCTCTTCCTTCTCCAGATCAGGTACCTCTAGGGTCGTCACCCTCCAGGTAGGCTTAGTGTTCTCCTGGAATTTCAACTGATCTCCAGAGTACAATGATCAGTTCCAGAGGAGGAATGTCCGCTCTGGAGGGCAGACTCTTATAGTATCACATTCATGCTGAACTCTCCCCAACTCTGCACTCCCCAGATCTCAGGAATTCTCAAGCCAGAGTTGGCAACCCCGCCTCTCATTAAAACTCTTGTAGTGCTGTCCTAAGCAGAATTACATCCTTCTAGGTCTACTGAGCTCTGCTTAGGGTTACACTGTTAGTTTCCACATAAACATCCTCATGTTTAAGAGTCATCACAGTTTGTTCCTAACAGCATCATTTCTACCCTTCCTGTTCTCAGTCCTTTGGGCCAAATTGAAGCAAAACCCATACTTGGCTCTAAGGTAAACTGATAAAAAGTGGTAAGTAATCCCAAACACAAGTTATATACTGCTGGGCCAATAAAGCTTAACTATTAAGATGGTTTAGATTCAAACCAACACAGCCACTGAATCTTCTTCCACTGCCCAAGCAAAGGCTGAACACTGAAGGATATAAATAAAACCACTCTCCAATATTATTTGTCATATAGCTAACTGAAAACAAATATTCGCTCAACATGCAGCTGAAACATCTGGCAAAGGCAGGACAAATCAACCAAGGATTGTATACTCCTGGTCTTAGAGGCTCCACTTTGTGCTAAACAGGGATGTGCATTCGGTTTATCCAAGTTGGGGAAAACCCAAAAAATAACTTACTGGTATTTTTTGGATATTTTTTCAGGCAGATATTAGCTGGGATATTTATCTGGCTAGCTGATACAGCTGAGCCCAAAAAATCCTGAAAATATTCAAGATTTTTCAGGGCCGCCAGATAAATGGCATTAAAGGCTGTTTAAAGGCATTGCAGTCCCTTTAAACAAGGAAGGTCCTGGTGAAGCTGCAGCTTGGAGACTGTGTGCCCTTTAAATTCCTTTGGAGTTCAGCTGCAGCTTGCAAAAGGCATTTAAAGGGACCACGTTACCTTAAAATGCCCCTTTCCCCATCATTGGAAACAATGGAGGATAGGAGCACCTTTTTCTGAGGCCCACAGAATTGGACCCCCTCGTCCAATCTTTTTGAAACTTGGGGGTGGGGGCTTGAGGAGAGGCACCAAAAGCTATGCTGCAAATTTGGTGCCTCGATCTAAAAAAAACAGCCCCCACAGAGCTCTAAATACCCCCGGATCAATTCTCCATTATACCCTATGGGGACCATTGACTATCCGAATCCATACCAGTATTGGGATTCAGGAATATCAGGAAATACCAATTTGTTTGGTTCAATATACCCGAATCCTAAAAATACTGGGGGGGGTTTGCACACCCCTAGTGCTAATGATGGATGTTAGTACTATCAGGCCATCTGCTGTCATGGTGGCCCAACCTCATCACTCTATGGTGAGGCTGTAGGGTTGCCAACTTCTAGATAGGACCTGGTGATCTCCTGGAATTACAACTAAACTCCATTTTACAGCAATCACTTCCCCTGGAGAACATGGTTGCTTTGGAGAGTGGACTCTATCCCATAATACCCTGCTGAGCTCCCCCCAAAACCCTATGCCTCCCTAGATTCTACCCCCAAATCTCCAAGAATCTCCCAACCCAGAGTTGGCAACCCCATTAAATTGTCTTGCACAAACTTCTAAGATTCCCTTTCATACATCCTCCTAACATACTTAAAAATTAGCTCATACATTGATCAAAGTTAAGCATTATTACTACAATGATTATATTTCAGTGTTTCATAATTTCATTTAATAATGCCCTGCTGTTGCTATTAGCAATTTGGAAATTCATTCCACAATGCAACTGCTCCTAGAGTATTTAATATAAGCCGATTTACTCCCATGCAGTCGAGCGCCCATCCCCTCTTTTATACATCTGAAAAGCAAGAGAGATTGGGGTGGGGGGGATAACAGCAGAAAATTCATGTTAGCAAAAGTCAAGGGATAAATGAGGATTCTAGCACAGAACTCTGGTTTGTGGGAGAACAAGGAAAAGAGCTTAGATTGACATACTTATAACTAGGGTATTAAATATGCTTTCAATCTCTTACTAAAATAATTGGCTTCTGAACTAATCCTAATTAATACAGCTGGATCTGTCCACATGAGGACTCAGCAAGAACTGTTACATGGCCATTAGACAAAGAAACAATTAAAGAAACAATAAATTTGTTTGCAAACTATACTTATTGAGTGGGGAGTAGGTTTCATTGGGGGAAATCTTCCCCAGGTCTTACTATAGCCTACAATCCCATTCACATTCTCATTAGAAACTGGAATTTGTGTGACATTTCTATTCCACCCTTTCCTTTATAGTTTTTGTTCTTGCCTTGATGTTTGCTTGGTAGTAAATTTTTGTTCTTGCCTTGATGTTTGCTTGGTAAAGTAATCTAAATCATATTATAAGAATGACACTGATGACACTAAGGTTGTCAATCACTTTGACCTTGGCTTGACAGCAGCACATGTAAAAGGGATCTAGGTTTTCTGGTTGATCACAAGCTAAACATGAGCCTGCAGTGCAATGTGGCTGTGAAGATAGCTAATGCAATCTTAGGATGCATTCACAGAAGCATTGTGTCCAGATCAAGGGAGGTGGTAGTTCCGCTCTATTCTGCTATCGTCAGGCCCCACCTGGAGTACTGTGTCCAGTTTTGGGCACCACATTTTAGGAAGGATGTTGACAAGCTCGAGCGTGTCCAGAAGAGGGCAACCAGGAGGGTGAGAGGGTTGGAATCCAAGTCTTATGAGAAAAGGCTGAAAGAGTTGGGTATGTTTAGCCTGGGAAAGAGAAGGCTTAGAGGGGACATGATTGCAGTGTTCAAGTATTTGAAGGGCTGTCATATAGAAGATGGAGCACATCTATAAACAGTCTGCCTCAGGAGGTGGTGGATGCTCCTTCACTGGACGTTTTCAAGTGGAGGCTGGATGACCATCTTTCGGGTATGTTGTAGGTATGTAGGGCTATCTTTCAGTACACTCCTGCAGAGTGCAGGGGGTTGGACTAGATGACCTGCAAGGTCCCTTCCAACTCTAACATTCTATGATTCTATGACCTACAATAAAAGGATTTTCAAGAGCTCATTTATTCAAATCCTACACAAATGTTTCCCAATGGAATGCATGAGCTGAAATAAGACTACAGGAATGTAATTATTCCAAAGGGTTTTTTCCTCTTCTCACAAACATACAAGTAAGTCATTCTAGGCTACACTAGCATATTTTTAGGGAAAAGATAAAATAAATTTACAGGCAATGCAGATTTATTAGTACTCTTTTTTATAGGACTGTAGTATCACTTTCTATATCTTGGCAGTTCAGCAAACCACTGCTTTGGTAAGGGTATTTGATTCATTATCAAATGCTCAGTAACCTAAGAGGAATTAAAACAAAACATCATCAAACATCACCTTTACAATCCAAAAGGGCAAACTTAATGCATAGCCTGGGAAGGGCAGCAATCTTCAGCCTTTCCAGACCTAGCATGGTACCCACTGAGATATAGCTTACAATCCAAAAGGGCAAACTTAATGCAGCAATCTTCAACCTTTCCAGACCTAGGACCCACTTAGCATGGTACCCACTGAGATAAACATGACAGGAAGTCATGTGGCATTAGAGTCATGTGACAGGAAGAAGGGACCCAGAGTTATGATCTCACTAGCATCAACACCAGCACCATGGACAGCAGACCAAAAGAGCTGGGAATTAGAAACACAGATCAGGCACCAGGTCATGTAAAGTGCTGAGGAACAAACCAAGGGTTAGAGCCATGAAGAAAGTCTCTGCACCATAGTCTCAGATCACCGTGCTGTCCTGCTTTTCTGTTAGGGTTGCCAGGCCTCTTCAAGATGCCAGCAGGGGGGATGGGGGGGACACTCCACAAAGTGTGCGCACCGATGACATCACCCGGAAGTGACGCCATCACACCAGACACATCGCACAGTGAAGTTTCAGCATTTTGGCCAAAATCACTATGGTAACCATAGAGTTTCAGCCAAAATGCGACAGCGTCACTGTGTGATGTGCCTGGCATGATGATGTCACTTCCGGGTGATGTCATTCATGCCAACAACATTGACACAGGAGGGGGGTGTTTGGGGTGGGGCTTCCCCTGCCATCCAGCTGGCTGGCAACAGATTGGAGCCCCTGAAATCAGGGGAACCTCTGCCCCAATCAGGGGTCTAGAAATCCTACTGAACCAGTAAACATGCATCCAAAAGCAACTCTTGCAAATATTGAATATAAATGAGGTGGTTAAGAGTCACAGAAATACAGTGCTAATGGGCACACACATGAGTTTTTGAGAATTTTGTTCCTTCTTCTCCAAGATTAACAGCAAGGCTGCCATTTCTTCTCCAAGATTAACAGCAAGGCAGCCATTTCCCAGACCATATGCAAAAGAAACCCCTACGTTGTGTTTCTCACATACAAAGGAACACCAACCAGCAACAAAGTAGTAGCTCTGTTGGTCCTTGCAGCAAAGACAAAACAGAATCTTGTAACACTAACACAGCAGGGTTACAACAGTGTAACACTAAAATAACAATGTTATTTTAATCTGCATAGCCAATCAGATCTTCAGTGGCAAATCAGACGCCCTGCTTGTCAAGAGCCTCACCTGGCCCCACCCGCTTCCTAAAAGCACTTGGTGGGTCCCAAGAAAGCTGTCAGCAGAGGCACCCTCGCACACACGGGCGCCATGTTGGGAATCCCTGACATAAGGAGTAGCAGACTGGTGTACTGATGTGGGGCTTTTGTGAACAACAGTCTGCATCATCAACTCAAGAAGGTATTTTATTTAAAAATATTTGTTTCGTTTAAAATATTTATATGCTTGCCTTTCTCCTGAGCATCTCAGGACCAAAGATATAATACCTACACACCTACAGCAGCCAGTGCAGTATTACTGGTCAGAACGTTGGACGAGGATTTGGAAGACGCAGGTTCAAATCCCCACTCTGCAATGGAAGTCCGCTAACTGACCCTGGGCCAGCCACACACTCTCAGTCTAGCCAACTTCGTGGGATCATTGTGAGGATGAAGGAGAGGAGAGGAGAACAATATAAGCCACTTCTGTCCCTAACTGATGAAAGATTTGCTTTAAAACCATCGGTTTACTGCTCAGAACATGAAATAGACCAAATCTGCCATGCAGCCATTAGGCACTCACCTGACCAGATCCATTCCTAGGAGAGCTTCGGTTTCAGAGGCAGCTTCTTTGGTGGCAGTGGCTTTGTTTGCAATGCACACTCCATGTTCATTGGCTCCCATTTCTGCCCCCCATAGCCACGATGGTCTGCTCAGCACAACTGCGTGAGTTTTGGGCACCTGGTCAATCTCAATATATGTGCACTACAGAGAAGGGAGGGGGAAAAGACTCTGCTGAAGCAGATGGCATATCTGTCATATTTTCACATTATGTAAATATAAATGTTTCTCCTGCTTGAAAGCCAGTCAAATCCGTTTCGAAGTTGAAGAGCCAGCGCTGTCTGAAGACATTTCCGAGGTCTTGTGGCCGGCATGACTAAACGCCAAGGTGCACGGAACACTGCTACCTTCCCACCAAAGTGGTACCTATTTATCTACTTGCAATTTCTTGCTTTTGAACTGCTAGGGTGGCAGGAGCGCACTCCATCACGCAGCACTAGGATCTCAAACTGCTGAACTACAGACAACCGAAGGAGAATTCCTCCAGCTTATGTGGTGCTTCTTTCACAAGAAGTCTCCTTAGGCTGGATGAAGTCAGGAGCTTTTGGGGAGTATTTTGGGGTAGGGAAAATTTTGTCAGCATTGCACCAATATGCTACGCCACTTCTGGCACAAAACTGAAGCAACGTCATTGTATCTGGGCGACACTCTTGGATTCACCCAAACCCACAGAATTTTAGGTGTATCCTAGAGCATTGCCCCAGTGCAACAATGTCACTTTGTGTTTCACATGAGAAGTAACATCATGTGTTGATGCAACACCAAACAGCCTGCCTAATTTTTCCCAACCCATCAAGTGGCAGCAGGTAAAGGGGGCAAGGGCCCCCCCAGGAGATTGGGATTTCCTAGTCAGGATACCACTGACTACTTTATCTTAAGGCCTAGTTCAAACAGGCAGCAGAGTGGACTGGACCCCCTTGAGATTACAAGTGGTGGATTCAAGCTTTTACATCAGGGGTTTTTTTTGTAGAAAAAGCCCAGCAGGAACTCATTAGCATAATAGGTCACACCCAACAGCAGAAACTCATTAGCATATTAGGTCACACCCCCTGACAGCACAGCTCATTAGCATATTAGGCCACACCCCATGCCTTCCCTTGGCTTGCCCAGGTGCCCCTTGGCCTCCTCGATCCTTCCAGGGGGGCCCTGCCCTGCCCGCATCGGAGTTGCCATGGGGGATGTTGTTCTCCAGGCCTTCCCTCTGTAGCCACGCACGCAGAGGTTTGGGCTGTAGTGGGCGTGGCCAACTCTGAAGCCAGCCGGAACTCCGTTTCTGTGCATTCCTGCCCCAAAATAGCCCTGTTCTACATTATACAACAAACAAATAAAAATCCTTTGAACAAAGAAAAAACATGAAAGGTAAACCTTTCTCCCTACTGTACTAGTTTTCTATTTGCATGAAGTTTCTTATGAAAAGGAATATTTAAATCTGGAATCCACCACATGAAATAAGTGCCACAGTCCATTCAGTCATCTCATTCCTACTTCATTTTCCTGCCTGTGAGAACCAGGAGTCCATTTTATCCAAGACTTCTCACCAGTCCCAGGAGGAGTTACGTGCAAAATCAACTGCAACGTTTTTCATAGGTAACTGACATTTTAACAGCAAGATTGGAGTGTTTCCAAGGCTGGAGAATTCCGGCCCCTCTGTTGCTCTGAAACTTGCTAAACATTTTGTTTCAGCTGAGACTGTCTGTAAATTTATTTATCCATTCACAAACTGCCATGAACATCCACAAACTGCTTGAAGGTTCATGGGAAGTTCATGTTAGTTGACCTGCCATGAACCAGCCAAAATCTTTCACGAATTTTAGTTCGTGAGCTGGTTCATGCCCATCCCTCCTATCTTTTTATGGCACTCCTGGGAAGAGTGACACTCTTTTATGGCACCCCTAGTCTTCCTTTCAGGTAAATAGAGGTAGTTAGTGCCATCTCCAATTTACATAATTTACATGTGTAGTTACCACAAGCAGGCATGCACTGAAGACGCAGAAGAATCCATGAACTGTGCAGGTAGGATTGCCAGCTCTGGATTGGGGAATACCTGCAGATTTTGGGGGTGGAGCCTGGGATGGGTGGGGTTTGGGGAGTGGAGAAACCCGAAGCCGCGTGGCTGATTTTGACCTGCGGCTTTGCCCAATTTCCCTCGCAGTTTCATGATCCTCAAAAAACAGGATCACGAAACTGCGAGGGAAATTGGGCGAAGCCACAGGTCAAAATCAGCCGCGCGGCTTCGGGTGGGAGTTTTCCATTTGCATGAAGTTTCTTATGAAAAGGAATATTTAAATCTGGAATCCACCACATGAAATAAGTGCCACAGTCCATTCAGTCATCTCATTCCTACTTCATTTTCCTGCCTGTGAGAACCAGGAGTCCATTTTATCCAAGACTTCTCACCAGTCCCAGGAGGAGTTACGTGCAAAATCAACTGCAACGTTTTTCATAGGTAACTGACATTTTAACAGCAAGATTGGAGTGTTTCCAAGGCTGGAGAATTCCGGCCCCTCTGTTGCTCTGAAACTTGCTAAACATTTTGTTTCAGCTGAGACTGTCTGTAAATTTATTTATCCATTCACAAACTGCCATGAACATCCACAAACTGCTTGAAAGTTCATGGGAAGTTCATGTTGGTTGACCTGCCATGAACCAGCCAAAATCTTTCACGAATTTTAGTTCGTGAGCTGGTTCATGCCCATCCCTCCTATCTTTTTATGGCACTCCTGGGAAGAGTGACACTCTTTTATGGCACCCCTAGTCTTCCTTTCAGGTAAATAGAGGTAGTTAGTGCCATCTCCAATTTACATAATTTACATGTGTAGTTACCACAAGCAGGCATGCACTGAAGACGCAGAAGAATCCATGAACTGTGCAGGTAGGATTGCCAGCTCTGGATTGGGGAATACCTGCAGATTTTGGGGGGGGAGCCTGGGGTGGGTGGGGTTTGGGGAGTGGAGAAATCTCAGCAGAGTATAATGCCATTGAGTCCTCCCCTCCAAAGCAGCCATTTTCTCCAGGGGAACTGATGTTGGTCATGTGGAGAGAACTGAAATAATATACACAATTCATCGGGGATAGGAAATTGGGGCTGGTGGCTGGTAATTCTCCAGTAGAGCTGCCAAGTCCCCCCTGCCCACCGGCAGGGAATGGGAGGGGGTAAGATTGCCAGATCCAGGTTGGAAACTCTTGTAGATTTGGGGATGGAGCCTAGGGAGGACAGGGGCCTCAGTGAAGTATAATGCTGTAAAGTCCAAGCATCCATTTTCTCCAGGTGAACTGATCTCTGTAGTCTGGAGATGAGGTGTAATTCCAGGCGATCCCCAGGTCCCACCTGGATGCTGGTATCCCTGTTTCCCATCCTGGGCAGTTAAATGGGAGGCCTAGCTGGAAACCCTACTTCCTAGAGGTGCTAGGTTATAGACCTGTTTCAGACCTTGTTCTCCTCTTGGATCAATAGCTAATGATCAACAACATTGCCATTCTATGGTTTATCAACCAACACAGTTTCTGTGCTATCAGCCCACTGGCTACTGCATAACCCTGTCTGTTATTCCAGGCTCTTCTAGCCACACTGTATTGCTGGGTTACTCAACTCTCTGACTGATTTCACATTAGAGCTGCCTCGCTGTTGCGCTGCCATTTGCCCCGGTTCTATTGGTCAATTTCACACCCGAACCCGCACGGCTGATTTTGACCTGTGGCTTTGCCCAATTTCCCTTGCCGGTTCATGATCCTCAAAAAACAGGATCACGAAACTGCGAGGGAAATCGGGCGAAGCCACAGGTCAAAATCAGCCGCGCGGCTTCGGGTGTAAAATTGACCAACAGAACCGGGGCAAACGGCAGCACAACAGTGAGGCGGCTCTAGTGCGAAATCAGCCAGAGGCTTTCCCCCTCCCTCAGACTTCACTAATCCTAAAGCTACCCTTATTCTTCTGTTCACAACTCAGATAATTGGCTGTTCAAAGTAGGGTTGCCAGGCTATGCCACTGCCTGGTAACCAGTGGGAGGGCTGCGGGATATGCAGCATCACAGGAGATTTTTAAATGCAGCCTCATGTACTTACTGGAAGTTCTCACCAGAAGTGACAAAGGCTAGCTCTAGGAATCACTAGAAACTCTAAGGTAAAACTTAAGCAGCCCTAATCATAAGCCTAGTAGTGCAATTTAGTACTCACCTTTGTACATTTTTACAGACTAGAAGAAACATGTTTTGCATTAACAAAGAGTGCAACTTACAGCATCTTCTCTTGTAGCATAAACCTCACAGTTTAAGGGTAAAAATTAGCAAAATATTGGTTTTCAGCCAGTGCACTACAGAAAGGCAAAAGAAAAACCTGGAAATATTATTGTAGTGGACGAGTACTCAGAAATAGAAAGTAAACAACATTTTAAACTGTTTTGGAATCTCAATAATCAGCACTATAAAATGCATAGTGTAATCACCAATCATCAGTATTTTAAAAACTTCTCCCTAATGATATATTCTTATATCCTTAGTCAAATGCCAGAAGCAAGACGAACCATTGAGGAAATTATATGTTACTGGAACTAATTCAAGGAAAACCTAGTGGATGTTTTGTAAAATAAAAAAATACACAGTTCTCAATTATTATTTTTCTCTCCCAATATTTTATGTTAAATTAGCATTTCAAGAAACAGAAATGTATTTAAGCATACCATAGCACAACCAGGGGAAATCTTTTATTAAACTCCCAAGGATTTAATCATTAAGAACACATTTTGCTTACATAAATGGATATCACTGATATTAAAAAAAATCAGTAAAAGTAAGGCTTTAATATTAAAATGCCTTTCCAATGCAAAAACCAATACTGGGTATTTCAATGATGATTTTGCCATAGCATCAATACCATTAAAACTGTAAACACTTTGTTGTGCAATCTGGTTCCATTCTCTTTCAAACTGACTATTGTAACATGTTTGAAAAGGAAACCAGTCACCATCTACTGTTATGAAAGGTATGTGGTTTGGGCATTCACTTCCCACATTTTAATAGGATTGATAAATCTGAATTTCTGAACTGATGTATTTCAATAGATGATGAAACAATTGTGTGAATGCATGGTTAATACAAGGGCTCTAAAAACGTTGAGCTCTACAGCCAAATGAAATACAGGGGATAATTTTACAGACACAGAAATTTTGTCTTTATCTAGTTATAGCTCAAAATATGAACTGGCACATCATATTCAAAAATACTGCAGGCACTTAGATTATTTATGCAAACATAACAGAAGCTTGTTCAACATCACATTTTTCAAAGTGATAATTAAATATAGGTGTAAGCAGGGGTCATTTCCTGCAGGAGTGCACAGGAGCGGAGCTCCGGCAGTAAAGAGCCCAGGGAGCGGGCATATGCACAAGCCCCGCCCCCTGCTCCCAGCAGCCCTCAGTCAGAGCAAGAAACAGCCAGGTAAATTGCAGAGCCCCCCGCCCAAAACAGTCCAGTGGCACCAAGTTTTATTCAGGTACAAGCTCTCCCTCCTCTGCGAGGACAGATCTGCACGTTCCCCCCCCCCCCATAGCTAGCAATCCAAAACCGTCCAGTGGAGCCTGAGTGGTGGGTGTTGCCTTCTGACACTCTTCCGGTGATGTCAGGGGGTGTGGCATATGCAAATAAATTATGCTAATGAGTTATACTAATGAGCTCCTGCACCTCTTTTTCTACGAAATGACCCCTGGGTGTAAGGATCATTGTTACATGATCTGAAGGAAGGACTGCCCAAAAGTCCACAGACCGAGCTTTGTACTGCCAGTTTCTGGAGTTTGTTTTACAGAACCAACCTGCAATTATTTCGGTTATCAATTATACCCAGTCGGGTCTTCCAAGAAAATGAGATGTTAGCGAGGCACCACCTTTGGAGATTGCAACGATGAATGCAAATCCAAGTGCATCTTTTTCAATATTTAAATCCTTGGTTATAGGAACTTAATTACTAAACAAATACTCCTAGATTTGGTTCAGTTTCCCCAAGAAACAGCTGTACAGCCCATTGACTTCAGTGAGCTTAGAACAGTGTACTGCTGCTTAGGATGGCACTTTTAAATCCATCATAAACCATAGCTTTGTGGATTCTTTTTGCAGGATAGTCGGTACTGCCTTATCTCAGCTCCACATTCTTTACGCCAAGCACATTCCTTCCATCAGACAACTGAAGCCTGTCATTTTTGCTTACTCATAACGGTGATCATTTGGTCTGACCCTTCATCATGCTCCTGTTTGGTATGGCCTAACTTTACAACTTGGTTAACTATGACAAAGTAACTAAACGCTGCCTTGCGCAAGGTCATTTCAATGCTTATCCCGTCTAGCAAAGACCAGCTGGAGAAGCAGATGCCATTGCTATCGGTGTCACCCTGTGGAACCTTTAGCCTGATTATTTAAACACTTCCAAAGAAGCCATGCAGAAAGCTGGCTCCCCAGCCAATGGCTAATCAATCTCTACTCTTGTTGGCAGAAAGGGTGTCTGACACTGAAGTTCCAAGTGGAACTCAACAACAGAAAATCCATAGATATGAATCAGTTAAGACTGATCAGCACTGCTAGCCCCGGACAGTAACTTTCATATGAAAGGAACAGTTTTGCTTTATCAGATCATTTAAAGTCTTTGACTAGGTAATTCTGCTTCTGTAGATTTCGGGACAACAGGTCATCATGTCTTTCAGATCTTCCTTGTTGGTCAATATATGCATGAGACCCAGATCTGAAATAAAAGCACCAGCAGTAAGCTGATGCCAGCCAGCTTTATCTCTCTCTTTATCTGCTGAGCTCATCCTTAGTTTGCACTGCAAGAGCTATGTACATCTATAGGTTGTCATGGCGCTTAAGCCCCCTTGAATATTATTACATAATATACTTGAGTATTAAGGTTGTGATGGCACTTCCCCAACAGATTGAAATCTGAAATGTTGCACATATGTAGCCAGAAATTGTTAGAAGATTCTAAAGAATGGATATTAATATATTTAGAAGCCCTTACAGCTGTAGCAAACTTAGCCATATGCGCAACTGAATGTAAGGAATGCAAGCACTTTTCCTCCACACATTTGCAAAAGCTTTGGTATACAGGAAATGTGCAGGGGCAGCCAGAAACGTGCCTACACTTGTAGAACAGAAACTATGGCTTGTATTCAAACTAGTGAGTCCACAGACACATAAATTTCTACCCACAGAGCATGACTTTCTCTCCTCCTCCCTCCTGCAGCATTCTGGGGAAAGGGATGAGATAAAAATCTAATAAAATAAATAAAATAAACCTGATATTACAAATCATTGTGACCCACTTCAAATCATCTGTACAAGGCAGGGAGCATGCTCATGTGCACTGTCCAAGCTCACAAGCTACAAAAGAAACAGGACTTAATGAATATACCTAGGTGGGGAGTGAGGAAAAGTGGGGAGGACAAGAGAAATCGGTCAGAAAAGCAAATAATTTTAAAATATTCACCTCTATGGCTGTCATACAAAATATAGCCATTTAGATTTGAGGAAATCTTTTGTAAAACTAATATAATAACACCGTTTACCTCAACTTTGCATCCTGGATCATGAGTAGCAGCAGCAAAGTAAACTACCTCCTGCACCTCATCCCTCGGCCGTGCAGAATTTTTTCCAAATATGACAAGACCCTCTTTAGTACGTGGTGGAAATGCAACAAAACAGTAACTTGGAGGTATCAGAGCCATCCTAAAGAAAGAGAAGGAAAGTAATTGGTATTTCAGTACAGTGCTTAACCTAACTGCAATAGAGGCTGCAAAATAGTTAAGACAACGGGGGACCTGACTCCCCCCAATCTCACCCAACCCCAGCTTTACTGTAGCAGCACTTCCCATCCCTCCCAACCCCAGCTTCATCACATCAGAGCCAGTGCCAGCACCATCTACCTCCCATCCCAGCCAACTCCAGATTAACCATGGCTGTGGCTCTCTTCCCCCCCCACCACCACCACTGTTGTCCTCGTTGTCAGGAGCCACAACTGTAGTGAAGATGGAGGAAGTTTCCTGGAAGACAGTGGCATCTGGTAAGTTCTCGACACATGTACAGAGACTGAACCCCCCCTCCCAATGTTTTTTTTAAAGTTTTCTGATTATTCTGCAAATTTGGGAGCTCCCCACCACCAGGGTCTGCAAAACTACCTGTTTTCTCTCAGTCTACCCCCAATCTGTGAATTTAAGTATCTGCAGACCCTGGGCCCACATTTGACTATTTGAATATAAAATGCATATAGCTTGTTCGTCATGCCAGAGTTCTTATATCAGCAAAACAACATCTTTATGATGGGAAAAAGCAGCCATCTACATTAGATCTATCCACAGCTCAGCTAAACAAAGTGTTTAAGGCATGGGCCAAACAAGTGCCAAAGCAGAAGAAAAAACAAGATCTGTGATGTATGTTCATAATTACAACAGTTAATCTCTTACAAACCAATACAGCTGATCACACTCAGTGTGTAGTGCATTCCCCAGTTCAGGGGATGGGGATTAAACAGCACCAACCATTTTCTTTGCAGTTTTCAAATTAGACACTTAAGAATTAATTACTAAGCAAACTGTGTATAAAGATTAGATTTTGCTCTCTGGTCAAAATTGGCTTAATCACATAAGAGTATTCTTCCCATTAAATTCTTGGCAGTCTTACACAAAGTAAGATAGGGGGGAAATCTTGGTCAAGGCAAGAAAGTATCTGGACCTTCCCTTTATGTATTTGCCATTAACATGCAGAGGTAATTTCCCACTGCCTGCCTCTGCATAGCAATTCTGGATTTCTTTGATGGTCTCCCATCCAAGTACTAACCAGTGCTGACCCTGCTTATCAGCTGAGATCTGACAAGATCAGGCCAGGTTGGGCTATTCTGTACTACACATACATACTCAATCACACACATTTGGCAGCAATGGAATTGGGTTGATAGTTGAGCTACCCTCTAAAGTAATGTGTGCCCCCCCCCTCACTTGGCTACGCATTTAGTTGATCCAATACATGTAAATAAAGTTTTCATATTACCAAAATCAGGGCTATTTTTGGGCAGGAACGCACAGGAACGGAGTTCCGGCTGGCTCCCAAGTTGGCCATGCCCAGCAGGAACTCATTAGCATAATAGGCCACACCCAACAGCAGAAACTCATTAGGATTGGCTACATTAGGGGTGTGTAACCTAACATGCAAAGGAGTTCCTGCTACAAAATAGCCCTGGGTTTTGACAACAAACAAGGTAAACAGAATAAGAAGCAAAAGGTGGGTGTGGCTGGATAATCACACTTCTGGTAACATGGGGGTGCGGCCTAATGTGCTAATGAGCTGTGCTGTCAGGGGTGTGGCCCAATATGCTAATGAGTTCCTGCTTTGGGTGGGGCCTATTATGCTAATGAGTTCCTGCTGGGCTTTTTCTACAAAAAGAGCCCTGACCAAAATAAATAGAAAACCTGTATGAGGGTTCTGAAGTAAGAGAATTGTTAAAAAAGGAAAATTACCTTTACTGCTTCATCCAGCCATATTACAGTTAACACGTCAGAACCATTGTTTCAACAACATCCATTCCCTTAAACCTTAGACTCATCAATTAACCTGTAGCTGATTCTACCAAAGTGCTGTTGAGCAGATCTACTGGTTACATTGATTAAAATTTACTTCCATCACTGATAGCCATACCAGAGTGCTGTACTGCCTCATCTCCCCCAACAGAGAACAGCTTTAACTTGTGCCATATTTTGTGTCACTATCAGCCTATCACTGCCCAGTCTGGAGAGAACTCTTTGATTGCATTCAGCCCTTACACCAAACCATTATTGTAGCCAGCAGCCAGCAAACCAGGAAGCCATGGTTTGCAGTAGGCGTGCAAATCATTGTGCTAACTATGGTTTGGCTGGCTATCTGAATGGGCAAAACATAGTCACAGCTAACCACAATTCGGGTTCTAAACTATGGTTAATGCAAAGCATAATTAGCCATGATGACCCTTCGATAGCATTTGTTGTTCTCTTCATTGCCTTCACACTTTCTCAATGCCTACATCACTAATTTGATGCACATTAAGTTCCAGCAATACAAAGGTATCATGGTGAACTTCCCAGATCTGCTGATATGACATTTAATAAAACATATGTTAGAGCAAAGCAACTTCCCCATTCCCCAAACCACATCAGCTGTGAAGATTACAATACACACTGTGCATGTTACAGATAGGGTTGGGGAATTTAGGATTGCTATACCTGTAGTGATTGCAGTTTCTAGATCAGTTCCATCATACCATCATAACCTTTCCTTTGAACATTTGGTTCAGATGTTTCATTTGTTTCATCTGCTGTAAACTTCTCATTGTTGGTATTTTTTAAAGCTTGATGGTAATGCTGTTTGAGATAATTGCCTGCCCCCTCCTTTAAAGCATAAATTTATGGGAAAGCAATGGAATGAGAAGACCGGATATAATTCAGTTCTACTTGTGTGTTTCATTTTTTTATTTTAATGTATTATTCATGCCTAGTTAATTAGTTCCAAGGGAAAAATATAGCTGGTTGGTTTGATGCAGATCTTATCAGACAAGACAATGGTCAAAAGCAATTTCTAATTCCCTTATGACTTCTGAAGTGACAACTTGCAAGTAATTTCTTACTGTCAAGTGCTTCTTGATGAAAATTAATCTCAGGGGAATTGGAGTGTATAGTGCTCCTTCAGCTCCTGTTTGTTTGGCTAATGTCTTTCTGGTTACTATGCCAATGTGCTTAATATAGGCTGGCATTCCGAAGACAAAGCAGCTTTGATTAACATGCAAACATATTACTTTCTAGGAATATTCCAGTTTGACATACCCTAAATGGAACTGAAGTTTATAATAATAAAGTCACCATTCAGAACTAATCTATACACATACAGGTGGGTCTTCATGGTTTGAGTTGTGTGCACGCAATTTAGCACAGAGTGGAGAGGTAGAAAGTGAACAGAAAAGTTATGTCTAATCCATTAATTTTTACATTATTTATACCCCACCTTTCTTCCCGATAGGAGACCCAAAGAAGCTCGCATCATTCTCCTCTTCTCTGCTTATCCTCACAACTGCCCTCCCTACAAGGTCGGTCCGGCTGAGTGTGTGCATCTGGCCCACAGGTCACACAGTGAATTTCCAAGGCAGAGTGCAGATCCAAACCTGGGTCTCCCAGCTCCTAGTCCGACACTTTTACCGCTACGCAATTTGCAATAAAAGTCTCATTCACTGGTATCAGCAAGCAGTGACAGAAAGTAGGTGTCATACTCCTGTGCTGTATTTAAAGTTGCTAACTAATATCCCTTTTAAATCACATTAAGTGTCTAATTTGACTTTTAATCTGGGTGCATTTAATTTGTTTCCACTTTACAATTTTAAAAAAAATGCAGGGTTTGAATAATTAGTAGGCATTAATAGCATTGGAAATAGGTCAGTCTTTTGCTGTGGCTTACATTTGAAACAATGGTTAATGGTGGGGGGGAATCGAGGGTTTGTCTACTGCCTGATGAAAATGCAGTCACTAGGAAACAGCCGACAGGAGTGTGGGGAAAGCTATGCTTGCCTGGCAGTTCCAGCGTTTCCTCACTTGCTGATCTGAAGTCTCTGCACTCTTTTCCTTGCCTTTCTGACTTAATGCCCAGCCGTTTCCACTCCACAAAGCATCCTCAAGATGATGCTCCTTATTACCTGACAGACTGGAATACTTCAGACACACGAATGAGTATTTTTTTTAAAGCCCATATTGGCTTTAAATTGGAAATCCCCCTCCTTTCTTTTTTACAAACCAGTTCTCTTAATTAACATTTCTTGACCACTGGCAATCCAAAGAACATAATCCTTTGCAGGAAATAATTTGTTTAGGAGACCTATTTTTAAAAGGAACACAGAGTGGTGGACAGCATTGGTATAGAAAGGAAAGCATACACATGTACCAATTAGTCACAGATAGCTCCAATCATGATACATCAAGTATGACGAATGTGGATGGATTATTGCTGCATTAAGTACAAATCTTTAAAGGGACTGTATTCTGTTACACTGGTTTTTCCCTCCACTCAATGTTTAAATATTAGTTCCATCATTTACTGTAGATTCCACAGTTCATCCTAAGGATACTTTGTGTATTTGTTGTTGTTCAGTCGCACAGTCGAGTTCGACTCTTTGCGACCCCATGGACAAGATCACGCCAGGCCCTCCTGTCTTCCGCCGTCCTCTGAAGTTGGCTTAATTTCATGTTTGTTGCATCTATGACAATGTCTAATCATCTCATCCTTTGCTGTCCCCGTCTTCTTTGACCTTCAATCTTTCCATAATAATAATAATAATAATTAATAATAATAATAATAATAATAATAATAATAATAATAATAATACCACCAATATTTGAAAACATATAGGCTTTCTTTACCCAATTTATGATTACCATGTTCTTTGGCCATTCTTTCACCTAGAGTAGGGCTCCCAGCCTCCTGCAGGGACCTGGAGGTCTCTCAGCATTACAACTGATCTCTAGACTTCAGACATCAGTTCTGCTCAAGGAAATGCCAGCTCTGGAGGATGGAGTCTGGGAGAAACAGAAGTCCAAGTGTGGGCTCCCTGCAGAGCTCCATTCCCGCCCCCAAACTTTGCATTCCCCAAGCATCACCCTCAAATCTCCAGGAATTTGCCAAACTGGAGTTGAGAACCCTAGCTCAGATGTCCTCTGTG